GCAACACCTTTATCCAGTTTGCATAATACTTCCATTATAAAAGATGGGGATTTTTTGTGAGAAATACTAACACCTCTATCATTTGCAACAGGGCTTTTGTATTCAGCAAGGGAAAACTGGCTTTAGACAAGGTAGCAGCAGGCATGTCCACAGATTTAGCTGAGTTGACTGTAAACTGTTAAAAATCATTATTTCCTTTCTCTCACCTACGTTTCCTCAGGAAAATTCTGGCACCTTGTCAAAAAACACAAAACTTTCCACATAACTGTCCCATGTTACCATCACAAGAGCAGTGGGCTGTGTGGGCAACAGAGATTATCTGAATTTCCCCCTCCAATATCTCTCCTAACCACTACTGCTACACCTGGCATAGACCTACTAAGCTGGGGAAAAGAGACAGCCATTCTGGGACCTCTCCAGAAATGCCCTGGACCCATTAAGGTTCTTCTGATTCTAGGTCATGTAGTTTAGTCCTGTACCTCAAGTTGCAGAAGTCTATGCTTCAGTCATGAAGGTTCAGGGTTAAACTGTCATGATAATGCATGATTGGATGGCTGTTGAAGAGCCACACAATAAAATTTGTGGTTTTCATTGTCCTTTATAAACAACTTAGGAAATCATATGTATAAAAACAGCTATGGTAAAAGACCACTTAGTGTGCTAAACCTAGCATTAGAACGTTAGGAAGTGTGCCAGACTTATGCTTGCTTTTGAGACTGATTTTCTCTCTTGTACATACGCATATTATCTTGAATTTGATCACATACTGTTTTTGCCACATTTTTGGAATGCAGGATGGATACACAGAGAGTACCATATTAGGGTTGCATGGGCATCAATAAATCTGGCATTTCCTAACTTTTGGCTTTGCAACCTATTTTTTTTTAAAAGCCAGGTTATTGTTTGCTTCGTGCTTTGTATGGAACACAAATATGTTGTACTCTCTTATCCTCTGTCTTAATCCAGCCTCGCCTACAAACACCTCTCAGAGGGGTTACATCAAGGGTGGGCAATTTCGGGCGGGGGGCTGCTTACTGAGTTTTGGCAAGCCATCGGGGGCTGCACAACAGGCAGCTGGGGCAGATAAATATTAATTTTCTAAATTTTTTAAGGGACCCATGTGCCAGATAAAATGGCCTGGCAGGCCACATCTGGCCCATGGGCCACATTTTGCCCACCCCTGGGTTACATCATGTTAATTGTAATAACAACAATATCTAACCCTTAAGGTTGGCATTTCAAGGGTATGATATCATTTAAGCTTCACTTTAAAAAAAAAAAAGGTTTTTGTATGTTTTTTTCCTAAAAGGGTTAATAACAGAGTTTGTGCAGAGGCTTCTAGATGAAGGCAGCTCATGCCTCATTTTGGCAGAGTGACAGGGAGATACGTAGAATCAGCTTTGAATGATAAAATAATGAAGTAGCCTTCTCTTCTAGAAAAAAATGGGCTAGTTGGATTGCTTTATTATGAGTTTCTTCCTTTGTTCAACCTTTCCGTTCTTTTCGTGTAATGTGCCATTATCAGCCCCGAGGATTTTAAAATATATTTTCAACCTTCAGCTCTTACTGTACAAGAAAGAAAGGAATCTTTCTGGAAGAATGATAGCTCTGGGCAATGAAGAGAGCCATAAAATAAAACTCCAAAGGATAGCTCTTTGAGACAGGATTGTTGACAATGGCAATGCCCTTTGTATACACTAGCTGAAGCAGAAAAGGAATTCCTCTTCCACAAATGAGCTCTCTCTAAAGAATAACAGTACTATCAGACAGTATTTATTTGACAAGTAAGAGCTTCTACTTTTGCCAGTGGCATTGTGTGATAGGGCTTTTCAGTGTGCAAATGGCACATAATGGATTGCACTGGGTCAGCATATCTGCCCCCATGAAGCTTTGAACACATTGAAAGCCCTGCCCTTTTCCACAAAAAGTGGTTCCACCTGCTGATCTGTCTCAACACTAATGTAGAGAAAATCACCTGGAGATGGGGAGATAGTTTGCTCTCCACAGCCACTCATTCAAGGCCCTTTTTGCTAAAACTGCTAACTAAAGAGTTAATTACTAATTAGGTACAGATTTGAAACTGGCAGACATTAGTTGAAAGCTTGTCTAGTCCATTACTAATCACAGTACCTGCAGTTTCTTCATTCAAGGTAACTGGCAGCTCCTTGTGTAAAAAAATATGATATATGTCTGTTTTAGTTTGATGGTCATAGTAGTTCTTGTTTGTTGTGTTCATTCAAAATACTGAGAAAATAATGTAACTAAAAGAAATAATATTGAAACATGGCATGAACTTGCTGAGCCAAGTTGGTGACACTTATTCACTTACTGAATTCATTATAATGCAGCCATTTTAATAAAAATAAGTGTTATACAATATGAAATATTTAAAGTATTTCTATATATTTGCAATGTTTGCTTAAGGACTGGGAGTTTCTGTGACACTGATGCAGGGAAATCAATTAAATCCATCATTTCAGACACTTACTGAATGCATTTGTAGAATGAATTACCAGACTTAAAAGTATAACTGATGCTTGTAACTTTTTCTGCCAATAAGCCAGTTCCTTAATGGCTTCTTTTGTCACTCCTTTTTTCATGAAAAGCATACAGCAATGGAAAGGTGAGAAAAAGGCAGCTGTATCTGGAGTGGATTACAAGAGTCTTTGAAACAGCACATCTGTCATAAGTAACAGTTTAGCAGGAGAAGCAAAGAATAATACCATGCCAATTGAAACTGCAACAAGATTTAGCTAAACAGAATGTAATTTCATGAGCTGGAATTTGGCCAGCTCATGTGAGTTATAGCAGTATTCTTTAGAGACTTATAATTCTGTTTTAATCAGAAAACTATAACTTTTTACTAATGCTTCTGTGCTTTGGATATGCCAATCAAGATTGATGGCTTGGTTGCTTTATATTATATGAATGAGAAGCAGTAGCTGCAGGAGGATTTTTTCCCAAAGGTTTTCATAAAGGAGGTAAGCTGATTTCAACAACTGAGTGGAGGAAATTTTGTGAAATGAAAATGAGTGAAGAAGTTGGCAAAAATGTTTTGTTCCTCATTTCTCCCTTGTGCGGTCTCTGCTGTAGGTATTTCTGCTTGTACTCTCTATTTAGAACAGTGATTCTCAACCAAGGTGCTGGGGCTCCCTGAGTGGCTTGGGTGCTCCCTGTCTGGCTGGTCCCCCACCAGTAGTTGCCTGACCTTTTTGCAAGGAGACAAACCCTGCAATAAATAAATTCATTTTTTGAATTAGGTGCTACTCAATTTACAGAAGTTATGGAGGAATGTCTTGAGTCTGACAAGGGGTACCATGAGTATAATTTTGAGAACCACTGCTTTAAAATTTCAAAATGAAGAAGCTTAAGCCTTTTATAGACTTAGTCTGCTTTCTGTGCCAGAGTTTTCTTTACCAGCTCTCCTTACTTTCCCTGTCTCTACATTTGTAAACAGTGCAGTTTTAAGAAAGTGAATTGGGAGCCTTATCCCAACTGGAAGTTAAGCTACCTTTTAATCTAAAAGTTGTTCACCTGCCTCTTAAAAATGGGTTGGGGGAAGAAACAGGTGATTTCCCTTCAAAACATCACTTTGGGATTCCAGCTATGATGAAGCTTTAAGGGGAAACTGTTGCTTCACCTCTTATGCTCAATGACCTCTCTCAGTGGACAGTCAAGTAGCTTTCACATTTAAATTAGAAACTTGAATTGCGATCAAACTTATCCAGTTCCATTTCTTAAGCTGCAAAGCTCAGAAGAGAGGGATTTAGTGGGACAGTGGTTGGAGGACCAAAAGCAACTACTATTAGTCTGTTGCCTCTTCTAGTAAAAGCTTTCTGAGAACTAAAAGTGGCCTTTGAGCTGTAAACTGATAACAGATGAGTAGGGTGCTGGGAGGGACAGAGGCTGTAAGGAGTCCTGAATGAAGGCAGTACCAATAAAAATAAATAAATAAAATAGCTATGTTTCAATAATAGTTAACAAACCCTAACATGCACATAGGCCTTTACTCCAATTTTATAATAGTTAGGAACTGGATTGAACTTTTCCAAAATGCTTTGGGGTTTGGATACAGAGTTTTGGTATAATATCAGTGCATTTGAAACATACCAATATGCAGATGTTAGTTAGTTTCTGTTCTAATTATTTGACATAAATCCAGCAAATTGCCAGACATTTTCAAAGGATCACATGTATGTATCATTATAAGAAAAAAATGCTTTTATATTTACACTGCATAATTCTATACTGGTGAAAAGCTATTTGACACTAAATGCAAAAGTTGTATCTGACATATTTTTAAAGTGTATCTTTAAAAAATTACTAAGTGATGTTACATCTCATAGGGAAGATCTTTATTGTCATTACAACTAGGATGTGGGTATTATGAATTCTCATCTTGCATAAGATGCAGGGTTTAATGAGTTTTATTCCTGCTTCCATTTAACAGCTCGGAGTTGAGTAACTGTACCTTACTTTCTATTAAACTCTGATAAGTTTAAATATATGTGAGTTAGTTGACTATTATTCCAGGTCTTCTGCCAAGGGCTGATGATGCGAGCCAAGTCTGATGATTAATCTGAGGGCAAAGATCAATCAAGTCTGAGGGCAAAGACATTTCTTAGTAAACAGGGAAGCTTCAGATGTCAAGTTATCATGGTGTATATTCCATTAAAATAGGATGCACCAGCATCAGTTGAGAATTCAAGAGAAAACATGCTTTGAAAGAAGCAAGCAGCTTTATTAAACTCTATTAATGATCCCGGTAGATAATTTTTGTATTTAAATTAATGTCTTGCTTCCAGAGAAAGCAGCATTACTGTGCTTTGACCGATGATGCAGAGAGATTTACATGAGCTGAACATCTGCGATTTCCTGACTACTGACCTTCTAAATAAGATTTTTTTTGTTAGAATTACATTAGTTGAAGCTCTAATAGTTAGGATTTTTTTCTGCAAAAAGGCAGCTGTTTGAATTAAATTCCTTCTCTATCCTTGCAGGGTCTTCATTTTGGTGCCTATTGGACATTGTTCCCATAAAGAATGAGAAGGGAGATGTAGTACTCTTTCTGGCCTCTTTCAAAGATATAACAGATACAAAGGTGAAGATTGCTGTTGAAGACAAAAAAGAAGGTTTGTATGGTTTCCAGCAAACACTGATATTTCAACATTTGTGATAGACCTGCATGTATTTCTGCATAAAATGGAGAGAATTCATTTGAGGTTCTTTTTTCTAAAATTCAAAAGAATACATTCACCTAGTACTTTGGGGATTATCTCAGTAACCAAAATCAGGGAGAAACCACATGGAAGAATCAATAGAAAGTTGTGAGTTTTCTTGTTTAGCACTTGCTCCTAGTTCTATGAACTTTAAGTAATCTCTTTAGAGAACAGAGTATTTTGCAATTCAGAATTAAACTTAGAACCAAAAAACATTCTTATATTTTAAAGTAATTTTTTTTTTTTATGTGAAGTGTTCAGGGAAACCTTTTTCAAGATTTATAATTTACTATGACTCTTCATCAACTAATGCAGAAAGACATGGTATCTTGCTTTTTCTCCTGTAAAGAGGATTTTTTTAAGGATTTTTATGAAAATACGAAAGGGCTGATTTATACTTTTTTATATCTCCAGCAACACAAACAAAGCAATCACAGTATACTGGTGAATCTGGCTTTGAAAGTCTGCATTTATCTTATTAAAGCATTTTTGTATATTTAGGGTGTTTTGGTTTGTATTCAACATTAAGGCCATAATTCTGAGTTTTTCAAGATGGCAGTTTGGTTCTGTATTTGGAATTATTTAAAACCTTTACAACTGTGTGAATGTGAAAATATCGTCTTAGAATATCAGTCAAACACCATGCATGATGTTTCTAACAAATCCAGGTAAGGAAGATAGTTTGAACCTGTGGAAGAATGTGGTGCTTTTTTTTGGTATTTCTCAGGTAATTATCCATGCCTCAGTTTCCCTGCCTTTTATAGCATGCTTTGTATATATAAGGAACAGAATTAGAGCTATTTGTCTATTGTTCAAGTGAATACAATATGAATACTACGACTGGCATTTACCTTCCAGAAGACTTGCACCCAGCAGTGCAGGAGAGAAACAGGGGTATCTTTCAGAAACCTTGTATACTCCCTATTTGCTGAATTCTTAAGTTTGTTGTCCTGCTGAGTTGTTATTGTTTTTAGTTTTTTGATTTTTTTTTTTGATTTTTTTTTTTTTAATTTAAGCTCACATCATGGATGCTTGAGCTATAAATCATGCTAAGAAATGTGGACATGGCAATTAGGATCCCTCTTTCTCTGTTACATTCCCTCATCTTCTCTATTTCAGATTTCTGAGCTTAATATCCACTGTACTTGCTTTATGTGTTGTGCAATAAAAGGCAAGTTGTATTTAAACTGTGAGGGTGATAGTAGTTCAGTGTCTTGTTACAATATTTTACAGTTTAGAAACTGGAAAATGTTACGTTTCCTTGGTGGTAATAAGACTAGGGACAGAAGTTGCATGTAAACCAGTTTAAGTGATCAGAAACTGGTTTAAACCTGTAACAGAACATGAGTTCAGTGCACAGAAACCAGTTTCAAAATGGCTGAAACTGGTTTAAGATAAAACTGGTTGAGTGTAGTATCAGACTGGACTGATTTGGGTCAAACCAGTTTATGAAACTTCTGTCCCAGGCCCCTTCCTGGTTCAAGTTAACCACAGTCTCCCAGCATGCTTTGCAGCCCTGGGCCGTGCTGGGCTGTCCTGTCTGCTCCAGAGAACAGGGTTGACCCTGCCTCTCTGCTCCCTACCCCAAGCAGTGAGGGCTGGCTGACAAGGGGGTGGGGGTGGGAAACCTGGCTGGGGACTGCAGCTGGGTCTGCTGCGGGGGGTGTGGGAGGGGGCAGCCCCTGCCAGATTTTTCCCTGCTGGAGGGAGTGGGATGTGGGGCAGGACACAGGGTCAGAGGGGGCAACAGCCTGGGAGGGACTGTCCCCCAGGCAAACCCTGGCTGACAGACTGATGGCTGCAGGAGAAGAGTCAGGTCAGCCTGCTCATCCAGCTGGGCAAGGATGGGGGTGGGGGGGAAGTGTGTGTATAGGTGTGTGTGTATGTACATGCATGTGAAGGGAGTGTTTGTGTGCATCTGCATGTGGGTATGGAGGGGGATGTGTGTGTGTGTGTGTGCATGCATGTGTCTAAGCATGGGTGTGGAGGGATGCATGTGCATGCATGTCTGGATGCATGTGTCTAACTGTGGGTCTGGAGGGGTGTGTCTGTGTGTGTCTGCTCATGGGTCCAGGGAGGGAGGTGGTGCGTGTGTGTCAGTGCATGTCTGTGCATGCATTTGGATGGGTGCAAGTGCGTAGGTAGTACCTGCTTCCTGAGCCCCTTGAAGGTGGCACTGATGGTGTGCATACGGGTGCACTCCTGGTCATAGGCCAGCAGTCGCCAGCTCTGCTGCATTGCGGGGGAAAGGCAACAGCCTGGGAGGGACTGCCCCCACCCTGACTACTCGGGGCGGGGGGGAAAGAGCCAGGTCCATCTGCTGGGGCTGGAGCCTGGCCACACCCACTCTGCTCAAGCAGGGAGGGGGGGAAAGACTTGGAACTTCTGTCCCATTTCTTTGGCAGTGGGTGGCAGGCTGAGAGGGCTGCTCTACTGCCCCTGGTTTCTGGCCTGAGCCACTGCAGGCGTGTGGCTGCATTACCTGAATCAAAATGAATGTCTTTTCATTTGCTTCTCAGTTTAATCTCTACATCTTAAACCAGTGGTTCCCAACCTTTTTTTTGCTGTGACCCGCTTCTGGGAGCAGAGTGTGGCGACAGTGGTGGTAGCAGGAGCCTGGGAGCAGGGGAGATCCTGGCACGTGACACAGCTCATCTTTTGTGTGCAGCGCCACCGGCATTGCCCCCCTCTATCCTCATTTGGGTTGTGACCCGAGGTTGGGAACCGCTGTCTTAGAATAACCTGCAAAGGCTGAATCGATTCAGCCTTGGGCTTTTTCACCATCTGTACTAAGTCTAAATGTTCTTAAATCAGTATTAATTTGTACCTTTAAAAAAAAAAATTACTCGCATTCTGAAAATACTTCTACTTTTTGTCTCACTTTTTCAAATGCTGGCTAATGGATATATGTTTAAACTCTGCTTATCTTGCAAAGAACGTTATTTGAGAATTTCTCAACTGGGAGAATAAAAGAAGAGTTTTGAAGTAGTACCTAAGTACATATTTCTGGATAACCCATATAGCTAAATTCAATCATTTTACCTCAAAGTAAAATCCTTTTCATATGTATATCTAAAGGCTTTGGCACAGGTTACCTGTCAGAAATCTGTGGAATATTGTGATGTCATAAGATATGGTGTTTTTAAAGCAGTCTCAGGTGAAGGCTTCATGTTTCAGACTTGCATGACTGTGACTTGCCACTAGAGGGCTGGTGAGCAGAAGCCAGGACACTTCATCCCCTGTAATGGGAGAGGAGAGGTGGCATATAGCTGGGAGGTAGAGAAACCTGTACAGGGTCTTTCCTCCCTCCACATCCAGCAGAAGCCATACCAGAGTGGAGGGTGGGAGGGGAGAAATCTTTAAAACTGTTTGCAGTGAGGCAGAGAGAGGGTGGGGGTGGGGAAATAAAGAGAAAGAAAAGGAAAAATATTAACAGAAAAATTAAGAGGTTAATAGTTGGCATATGTCTCTGAATTCTCACCATGACAGAAGCAGTAGTAAATAATACTGGCAGCTATGGATGCGTTGTGGATTTTAGAGCACCAATTACTATTTGCATGGTGGCATTCACTTGTGTTTTGGAGGATGGGGGGGCACTATGCTCATGTGCAGTCCTATTGACTTTCTTAGGATTCCATAATCCTGTTACCTTGGGCAAGATTATGGCCTTTAGAATGAAAGTAAGCAAACATGTAATAACACTTATCCTTGACAGAGAGATTCTGGGCTTGATGTTATGCAGAATTTGGCCCCAAGATTTTTTTAAAATGTGGAAATAAATCAGAAAATAGGAGTTATTTAAAGAAGGTGTGGGGGGAAGCTCCATACATAAATTGTCCTATATCATGTGCTAAGGCTGGGAATAAAATTCAATTAATTATATAAGAATATGTTCATATATGTTTCTCAGTTGCCTTTGTCATTTTAAAAGCAAAAGTATATTTAGGGTCAGACTGTGAGCTGCCTCTTCATGTTCTTGAGCAATTACTTATCTGAGTATTTCTAGTGTCAGTGGGAGTGACTGTTAACCAATTTGAGTAGCGTATTCAGAATCTGGCCTTTATATGGAATGCTATCCTCAAATAACATGATTTAGATAGCATTGGAGTGATTTTCTAACTGGGATGGTCCAGGAAATATGAGAGGAAAGGATTTCTGTGGATGATGCTTTTTATTGGGCCAGTGGCATGGTTGGAATAGATTCAGACAAGCTTTTGAATGAGGTGAATTCTTCTTTAGGAATGTACTGCAAACTTCTTGAAGATTGCACTATAGTGAAAACCTAAGTCTATCCCAACCATGCTGTTGGTCCAACAAAGGGCATCATGCACAACAATTCTTGCCTCTCACAAGATGTAGATAGTATTACGTTTTGCTTGTGGGGTCAAAGTCTATACTTTTGCCTCTCTTACCTTAAGAAATTATGCAGTATGAATGGAAGAACTTTATAATTTGGTTTTGGGTCCGAAGTTTTATCCCTGCACATTATGAGTTTTATTCAGTACCTGAAAATCCTACTGATAAGCCAGTCAAAGTTGCAGGTGCTTAGCCTTGCATAATGGAAGAATCACATCATTAACCTTAGCTAGTCTAGATCATGGAATCACAGAAAATTTGGGTTGGGAGGTAGTTCAAGTGGTCATCTAGTCCAGTCTCCTGCTTAAAGCAGGACCATCTCTAACTATCTCATCCCAGTCTAGCCTGGTCTTAAAAAACCTCTAAGGATGGAGATTTCACATCCTGCCTAAATATCCTGTCCCAGTGCTTTGCTGCACTCCTAGTGAGAGAGTCTTTCCTAATATATAATCTAAACTTCCCTTACGGCAATTTGAGACCATAGCTCCTTGTCCTGTAATCTGCCACCGCTGAGAACAGTCTAGCTCCATCGTCTTTGGAATCACCCTTCAAATAGC